TGGCAGCTCCCTTGTTGGACTCTCGGTAGCTGGTTTATTAATCAAATGAAAATTTGGGGCGTGCCCTCTGGCAACAGATTGGAAGCACCCATTCCACTTGTCTATGGCCTTCTTCTTCACCCCAGGAAGCGTCTCTGCACAGAGTGCTGCCAAGTTTCGGGAGAATTGCTTCTCGATGTATCAGCAGCTTGGAACGCATTCACATGTTGGTGGGTTTGTGTTTCTACTGCTACATCAGGCAACATGCAGATCAGATTGCAATCTGGAGAGCAAATCACAGTGGTGAGCTCCGGCGTGGCCAGATGGCGTCTCGGCCGGTAGGATGCGCTTGAGTGAAGCCTAGGCAGACAGCTTCTTCATTTCTGCTATTTCCATTTGCAGCTAGCATGACATGCCAAGATGATGGGCCCTTTTACCTGCATCAGTCAAGCAAGAATGTGGAAGCCTGAGGTCAGCGTGCACAAGTCACTTTTCCCCAGCATAGGGGATGTCGTCACCACAGCCTCTTGCCGCCTAGTGGCAGGACAGACCTGTGTAGTACGATATCGCCTGCAGGGCCCATGCAGTTATTTTGGGACCGGCCACACGGTCCTCAAGGATGAGAGGGAGCCCGTGCCATGGCCGGTCCCTCGTAAAGTCTTGGGCGACACGCCCTTTATCGCTTTGGTTCCGCCTGGGCTCAGTTACTGTGCAGCTGGAGGCGGCGGTTTTTACTTAGGCCATCAGGCCTTCAACAACGTGGATCCGAATTTGCGGGCAGACTTGCCGAAGAGCTCAGATGGCCAGCCTCAGATGCTTGGCCATGTCGAGATGTCTATGCCTTCGTACAGCCGCTCACAGCGTGGAAGCGGCAAGATGCCAAAGAGCCAGGTGTTTGAGTTGCGACTTTTCTGCTCCTCCAAGCAGCGCATTATCGGATGTATCGGCGAGCCTGTTCGCATGACTGTTTGGAATCAAGTTCCGCCTCCACCTCTTGAGTCCTTGCAACTGCGATGTGAAGGCCGCAATGTGACCTTGAGATGGAATGCGCTGGAACTCTTTGACTTGCCCAAGGAAGGTCAGGCTGATCATGTGAGAGTTCTGGTGAAGACCTCAAGCTCGGAGGAAACAGTGGTACTGAAGCCGGAGGTCACAGAGCATGAGCTGCTGGACTTGACACCTGACACTGAATATGAGTTCCGGGTGCGAGCAGAGAACGTGGCCGGAAGCAGCCGAGACTGCGTGGCACATTGCCGGATTAATGCCTATTGTCCAGCTCCTGCAAGCTTGACATGTGCATCTATCGGCACAGCACAGGTAGAGCTGGAATGGACAAGACCAAGCAAAATAGGGAATGAGGCTACAAAGGATGCCTATCAGATCCAGACAGAGCAAATTCAAAGATATATCGCCACACTGCGGGTTGTGGACAGCCACGGTGAGGATGGCAACGAGGAGGGCAGTGATGGCAGCAGCCCCAGGTCCGACAAGCCGAGTCGCAGGAAGCGGGGCCACAAGAGCAACTTCAACGCTGATGCCATGAAGGAACGGCCCTGCCACTTGGCTCCAGAAGCTTGAGGGGTGTGGCCTGTTCCCATCCTACATTGTGAGTGATCTCGAGCTTTTGTTCTTTTAAGGCCAGTGGCTTCCTGAAGCCCTGCGCGAGGACGGAGAGCACTTACAGCCACACATGCTTATATGTCTTATGTCGTACGTTCACGGCTGCTGTGGTTCAAAGAGACCGAGCTCAGACCACCAAATTCCAAGAGACTTGCAGGACCGAGGTCGTGGGATCATCCAAGCCACTTTGGCCGGCTTGCGGCCGGACACGCGCTACTCACTCTCGGGACTTTGCGCGGTGAATTCGGCACCATGGCTGCAACTGAACGATTTTGAGATGATGGCCAGCCGTTCTCTCTAGGTCTTTTACACAGTCTGCAGCACAGCATGGTATCTGCGGGTGCTTCAGCATGTGCGGAACTACCTCATACCCAGCGCTTCAGTTTTGAGGTTGGCTCGGGAGCGCCAGGGTCTCAGAATTCAAAGCAACAGGAGGCCACGTCGACCTACTTTGCTTTAGGAACGGGCTAGGCACATGTTCAGCAAGCAGTGGTGTCCATCACTGCATCTTGATACTGCAAGATCTCAAGGATACATGCAAGTGAACTGACCTAGGTCTCGGTTGATGTTGTTGATGTTATTGGGAGTTTGGGAAGGCCTAGAACCCCAAGATTTCTCGATTGTGATTCTCTCAAATTGCTCCCTGAATCAAGGTGCTCTCCGAACCTTGAATTCTGGACCATCCCTTTGGTACCTCGCGTGGAGCGATGCCGCGTGCGGCAGGGCCAAGCCTCTTGAGCGGCAACCCTTCAAACCTTTTAGCCTAAAGCCCCCCACATGTCTTGCAGAGTCTTACTCGTGCGGGGCCCAAGAACCACAAAACTGATGCGGCTTTGTGGCAATCTAGGTTTTGCTGGCACTGTCCGAGACTGGTGGGGCGTGCCTGGATTGCAGTGGCATCCAGCCGGGGCATGATGAACATAGCCTAGTGATTGCAGCTTGCATTGATTTGTTGTCCGGATGGGCGATTTCGCTGCTGGATTCAAGTGAGGGGTTTCTCACTGGACGAAAACTAGACGCACTAGTGTTTGTGGCGACCAGTGACTGGCAAAGAGCCAAAGCATCCGCCCAGCCGTGTGTTCAAAGCATGTCAAAGGTGCGTTCACGACTATGCCGTGTCAGTCTTGAAGGAGGGCATGCCCGAGGACAATGCAGCGCCCTGTCAAGAAAGGGGGTTCTTGCTTGGTGAGACGCTAGAATCCGCTAGAAGCTGAGCTGGAGCAAGGCATGTGCTCCCAGCTCCCGCGCGTGATCAGGTGAGTTGGACGATACCTCAAGATGCCTTGCAAGCCGAAGGCGAAACCGGAGAGGCAAGCGTCTCAGTTCCCGAGTCTCACCTCATTCCCCTTGAGTAAACGCCCTTTCTGCGTGCACACCCCGCGACACGCATCATCTGCCCTTGTAGCAAGGGCCTTGTCCAGAAGGGTTCAGAAGAGAGGCAACACAGGGAAAGGATTGTAAGTAGTGTCACATGGCAAGACAAGGAAGCCGGCAACCTTCCAAACTGACCGCTCTTGATGGCAAGACTACGCAAGAATGATGCATAAGTTGCAGCTGAAAGGCAGCATTGCAGCTTTCGGAGCCAGGGCCTCAGCTGTGCCCGAGCTGTGCCAGTTGTTTCGTGGGCATCTTGCGCTGAAGTGCACCCCACATGTGATGCAGATGAGCTTTTGTGATCGTTTGCACCTCTAGACATCAAGAAGTTCACCACTTGCACCACAATGATCACGGTTGCAGCAGCACCAGCAGCAGCAGCAGCGGCATGACACCGCCATCGTCGTCAACACAATCGGCGCCGACTTGGGCGACTACAACCTCTACGTGTCACCAGCACCCTGCACTAGCAACAGCAGCAGCGCCGCCGCCGCCACCGCCACCACCAGCACCACCAGCACCACCAGCACCACCAACAACCACAACAACAACAACAACAAAAAGGACAAGAAGCAACAATACCGCTGCCACCATCAGCACCAATTCTTTTTCCTTTCGGCATTCCACGGATGGCAACCAAGTTGCTAAACCTTGTATTTGTTCTGCAACAGAAATTGCATAGCTCTCTGTCTCCGTCTCTATCTGTTTGTGTCAAAGGCCTGGTCTCCGATAAATTTGTCTCTCTGTCAGTCTAAGTTTGTATGTCTATCAGTCTCTGTCAGTCTGTCTATCTCTCTCTCTTTCTCTCTCTCTTTCTCTCTCTCTCTCGCTGTCTGGCTGTTTCTGTCTTTTTCTCTCTCGCGAGCCGATTCGCAGAGTATTCTTGCAGCACTCAACCGGGGAGTATCTCCGCAATACACAATCGCTAGTCTTATGGCTGTTATAGCTGCTTTGAAGAACCCTGTGCTCGTACAATGCTGTCCTTGCAATCCCTCGAAAGATAGTCTCTTGATAGAATGTTATGTAGTCAAATTTTTGAAAGGGAAATTTGCAGACTGTACCCCACCAGGATCTATAGCCATTGCAGGCCCGTTTATAGATTAAGGTATTGATAACACCTATGTAGGACCCTATCTAGCCTTTATGCTCAACTTTAAAAAAGACTCTACATAGATTTTTTGGCTATTTTGAGGGCAGCTATATTATAGCCATTATAACCAGCTAAATGGACCCTGCATCAGCCTTGTAAGTACATTAAAGGATGCTATAAGACAGTCCGTTCCTACCACTAGATAGCGTGGAGTTGTCGCGAAACTTTCGCAAGGCTGCCACTTCCCTTTGCAGAGATGCCAGCGGCAGAATCCACGGAGAAGCACTTCTTAAGGCAGGCAGCACGGGAGAAAGGCATGGGATAAAAGCAGTTTGCATTGCCGACGATGTCATGCGAAACAAGGGCTGTATAAGACCTTGGATCCCAGTGCTTGTGGTGCAGTATTCAGTGAGCCTCTGCTTGCTGCGAGGTTGCGGGCCCGTAATTCCGGCGGCTGGTCAGAGCACACCTGGCCGCAATTAGCAAGTATCCGGGTTTTCTTTGGCTTCTATCCTCGTCACGCCGTGAGACTTGAAGCCGAATCTTTGCAATGCCTCACGTGTGTGGACACGCTTCATGGCGATGTTTGCGGGCTGGCGTGTAAATTGCATATCATGCTCAAGGCTTAGCAAGCCTCCAGGGTCAAGCAGTTTATCTGCCAACCCGTTCGTAGTGCCTTGGAGGGCGTTTCACTCAGCGTGGCTCTTCTCGGGCCGACGCGATGTCTTTGAACAAGCTTTCAGAAGTGGAAGCGTTTCGAGCACAGGCCACTGATTGCTAACTTGCATATCCATTTCTTTTCTGCATGAGCAACTGTCCCACTCGCTCTCCTCAACAGGTTCTTCTGGAGGAGGCCTTGCGCATCTCTTCAGCAATTGGCAGTCTTCACATCAGACGGCTTGCAAGAAATGCCGGAGCGCCACAGTTTGCACGTAAGGAAAGCTGAGCTTTCTGACCAGCATCTCATCCAGTGCTTCTGTGCATGGCGATGAGCTCACACAGCCCCTTGTTAGCAGCAATCGGTGGGGATGCGGTCTTGAAAAGCACAGCAGCCTGAATTCCAATGAGTTGATGTAAAGCAGACAGCCGCACAACCAAGGTTCATGGGCGACGAGATCTCACGCATTATTCAGGTGGCCATGGTATTTGAGGGGCTTAGGCCTGCTATGCAGTAGGGCTGGGCTAGTTGCTACTCCTGCTTGTGGCAGGAGCAGCGAGATCTGGAGAGGAAGTATGAGGAACGGATTGCAGAGCGTGGTCAACTGAAGGGCCTTTGCAACAAGGCCTGTGAGGTCTACTGCAAGAACAATAAGAACAAATTGCGAGATTTGCTTTATGCACAATGTCAGAATGCAACTAGGCGGGTTACGGGGAATGCCAGAAGCAGATTGTGAGCCTGCGCAGGCGAAGTTCATGGAGACGCAGCCCGGCCCGGGAAGCGGCAGAGTAATGATGCCCTAGCTGAACGCTTGCAAGCCCGCGTGGGTACCCGTACGGCAGTGGGACTCTCGCCGCGCAGCTAAGGCAGAGGGAGATCCAGGATGTTGCGCACAAGCTAAAGGAAAGCAACAAAAGCTTGTGCAGAAACCTTAAGGAGAATCCCAATGTGCAGGCTCGGGGATGGTGCAGGCATAGCATGTGCAGACTCGCCAGACGGAAAGCTTTCAGGTGAACGTAAACCTGTGACCCGGTCCTGAGGGCAACCTCCAGAAGATGCAAGCGGAGAGGGCTCAGGTGCAGGAATGGCTTGAGGAAACAAAGACAGACCTCATGGCTAGCGCCTTAGTCTTTGCCTTTTTGAACTGGCAACTCATATTGTTCTGGAACCCTCGGACAGCTACCACGAAATTCAGCAATAGGCGTAGAAGATTGGCTGAGGAGATGTCCTTCGCCAATCTCGTCGCCAAGGCCAGAGGGTTTGCATGCCCACCATGGGCTCCTACAAGTAAAGTATACTGCAGACATTGGAGATCATTGGAGGAGATTCTGTGCATAAGCCAAGCCAAGCTGTCAGCAAACAGTCGCACAGCCTACTTCTTCAAGCGGTTCGCTTGACTTTTGACAGAGCAGGTCGAGGCGGAGCGGCGAGAGCAAGAGCGCCTCAGCGAAGTGAAGCGCAAGGACGCAACCAAACGGAAGCGTTCGTGAAGAATGCTATAGCAGCTTTAGCATCATGTGTGTATGCGGAGGCTTGCGCAAGTCGAGCCGAACTCCTGTGGCTCCTGTCATGTTATCCGTGCTCGCAGGAGCAGAAGAATTCTCAGGCAGTCAAAGACCTGGAAGATGACCTGCAGCGAGAAAGGTCAGATCACGCAGCCCAGCACAAGCCATCTAACAACAAATAAGACGGGATGTTTCTTCTGCTGTGACAGACATACCTCCCTATAAGATGCAAGTATGCGTAGAAAGGCTTGCATATTTGCACGTGTACGCTGAGCACAGTCGAAACTGCTGCGCCAGCTATAGTCACCCGCCGGCCCCTGTGTGACAAACAACGCTGCGCGGGCCAAGGAGAAGGAGACCAAGCCTCCTGGCATGAATGTAGTCAGCTGGATGTGCAAATGGAGATGCTTCCGCACATGCATGGGCAGACTGCGAAAACGTGATCTCTGAGGATTGCAAACCAAGAAATCAAGGAGTTGAAGGAGGAGCTTCAGAAAAACAAAACCATCAGCAAAGCTCTTAGTCCAACTTCTACACACCAGCCCCTTCGTGAGAATAATTGATGTTTGGAAAGTTCAGGTGATATCGAGTACAAGTTCGAGGAGAAGAAGCTCCGAGCTAGGGAACAGGCCGCTGAAGTTGAAAACTCCGTAAGCATTCATACTGTTCACCCTGCCCTTCTCTATCTGGGACAACTGCAGAAGCATGAAGAGTACGGGATTCTGCATACCGGCAGATACCGTATCCAATTTGAGGCGCTGTTGCGTATTCACGCGCAGATGGAGAAGAAGCTCGTGGAGGACCTTGGCATGGTCACAGGTTCATGCGAACCCAAGCCTCAGTACTGAAGAGACGTCATAGGTTGTATAGTTATGTCACTTATGTCTTGCTGTGAGGAAGTAGAGAAGCTAGTCGACGCCCAAGACATGGAGACGGCTGTGCACGAGCGTGCCCATGCCTTCCTGGATCAGCGGATCAAGCACCTCTACGATGAGAACATCGCGTGGACCAAGGACACACAGAACATGAACAGTTTGAAGACACATCTTGACAATCCCAAACCGTCTCTACGCTCTGCAATGAGTTGTGCAAAGCCACGTGAAAGCTTGGAGCGCACCGTCAGGACCACGAGAAGGAGGTGGACAACCGCACCGTGGAGCTGGACATGCTCAAAGAGCGCCGCGCCGCAGCACACACGGAGCTGGCCGAGCTCGAGGAGCGGCGCGGCCTCGAGGCAGACTCCTACAAGGCAGGCACACCATGGCAGCCCTCGGAGAGCATCCAGAATCCTGTCTCCCTCCATCCCTCCATCCGATAGTTGTGTGGAAAAGCCACCTCGCCCCCTTTTCAGGAAAAGGAGAACGAAATGCGCAACGCCGTCCTCATCGAGAAGCAGCGTCGGGAGCAGTACCAGCGCATGGCACCTGAGCAGAACGGAGCCTTGCAAGTTGGTGTGGGCATACTTGAAATTGGAACAGCACGGATTTGGCTAAATCCTGCTGGCTGTTGTCAACACTGTAACCTCACTCTCAGGCGGAGGCCGTGCTGTTCCTCCAGGACGAGGGCCGCAAATATTTGGGTCGACTGGATGCGCGCAGAGCCGCCATGAAGGGCAAGAAGGGCAAGAAAGGCTGCTCGTCAAGCAGACACTGCAAAAGCCAGAGGCCTTCGGGAGACTTCTATCATAATCAGGCCTTTCTCTGCATTTGTGCCCTTGTTGTGAGACTGTCTGGGTCGCGCTGAGGCAAAAAGAAATGAGAAGCAAGAGCAGCTTGAGAATCTTTTTCATCTGGATCTTCCCTGCTGACCTCTATGGCAGTGTTACAAGTGGCCACACGCAGGTGAGCTGGGTGCTGTTCCAAAAAGGAACCGGGACTTCATGCAGCCTGTATCCATGTCACCTTACTGTGAATTTATATGCGTGGAGCAGCTTCCCTAGAATGGGGAAGCCTGTGCGGAGAGGGAAAATGCATGTGTGCGCCCAACAGGCTTACAGATGGCGGGATGAATGACCCTAACGGCTTTCAGGGATGAGCGAGCTTCGTACCTACAGCTTTAGCAGTAAGAGGCCTGTAGCGAGTATAGCGAGTTCCGGGCATGGCCCACTCAGGTGGAGCCCTTCCTTCACCACAGCTGCAATATCCCGGCAACAAGGGGCGGACCTGGCCGAGGCATTCTTGGATGAAGATGGGAGGTGCCCTAAGCAGAGAGCACTTGAGTTGTTTTGCAAAGGCTGCAATAATTGCCGCGATCAACTCGCCCAGCATCGAGCAACTGGAGCAGGCATTGTGATCCCTGGTTTTATGGCCCAATTTCTTTCGCGACTCACGCTCTTGTGCTGTGGTGGCTTGAAGAGCTTCATTTACGTCTCTGACATTGGACAGGTCCTGCGGGCAAGTAAGGGCATTGAGTTTCAGGAGCCCAGGGCTTGTGTCGAGACACGAGAGAGAGAGCTGACATGCTACAATCAATGCTGGACGATACGATTCATTCCAAGTTCTGGAAGCTGCCTGCTCGTACACATAGCAGCTTTGCAAAGCCCATCTCCCCATAATTTTTCAGAGAAAGGGTGCTGAGAACATGGATTCTCTTCAAGCCCAGCAGACCATGAACAGGACTACAAATATGTCCACGAAGCCCGCGCATTGCTTCTTCGCTTGCGCGAAGCCCCGAACTCAGCCAAGCTGATGCCGCAGCATGCTGCGGTCTGAGCGTGAACCCGCTGTTCCGCAGGTGAAAAACGCTTTGGCCGAAGCTATGAAAGCGCGATTTCCAGAACAGTTGAGAGAGGTCCGGCCTGGCCAATAGCAGCCAGCTGTTGGTAGAGCAGGAACTGCAGAGATAGAGTGCCAGAGTTTTTGTTGATCCACATCATGGAAAGACCTGCTGACAGCTAGATCCACAACCTAGCCAGCAGCAGGCCACTCTGTCAGGCTTTGCAGGCAGCAGTTGATGCAAAGCTTCAAGGCAGGTCAATGCTGCTGGAAGGGGTGCTTGGGCTGTGTCCCTGCATCTCATTGAATGGACCCATAGTCATGCTTCATGGACATATGCCCTGAAGTCAAGACCTGGGAAGGCGTTGACAAGGCCCGAAGTCTCCTTGACAAGTTGGCAGCTTCGGCGCATTTTATTCCTGAAGTGCCAAACCGCATCAGCAGAACCTGCATTACTTTGTTATCCCTTATGGCGTGACAATCTTCACACTGAGGACTTGGTCGTTGAGCGCTTGGACTCTGCAAAGGGAATCACGCCATTAAAGGCCGCGATTGAGGCAGCAGAAACTGCCAGGCCCGGGCGAACTCGCGACCAATAGCTGCAAGACTGCAAGACCCCTCAAGAATGTGAGCAGCGCTGCTTCAGCAGAAGTACTTCCTCTAATCAAACTTGCTCTGCTCAAGAGTAGGGAGACGTCTCGAAGCTTGGGTTGACTGTAGGCGCGAAGTGAGTGCCTGCATCAGGTTGCCAGAGGAGATCATTGTGGTGGGCAGGGAGCGGCTTGTCCGGCGGGAGGCCAGAACCGTAGCAACGTTTCCAAGACCCATTTACAAAAAACGTTCGTTCACAAGCCTTTCGCTGGAACGTCAGCAAAGTCGTTCTACCTGAGTCGAATTCTGGATTGCTACTGTTATTAGTGATTGTTGGTGTTAAAAAACTGCCCTGCAGGCAGCTCAGCAGGGGCTAGAGGAGGCCATTGAAGCAGCGCGCGTTCCGGACCTCCTGGAAGCCCTGAAAGCTGCAGAAGGCTTGCTCACATAGATCTCGACAGATGCCTGTAAGTCTTCAGAAGTATGGAGACGAGTGCTTTGTGTATGTCTCTTGGCTCAAAAGCCTGCAAGGGGCAACAATCACTACTCACGCCATGATACTTGATTAGACGATGTAGCAAGATGGAACGTGCGGTGCGCCTCTTTGCGCAGGTAGCTTTGCTATCCTGCTTGCCACTGCCGGCCATCTCTGTCCTTTCTTCAGCCCATGCACAGGGCGAAGCTTGCGTGCCGGGTCATAGCCGTTGCGCAGCAGGACTTACGTGCACATGCTTAGCACTCAACAGAGGGCTTTGGGTGTGCCAGCCACCCAGCTTCTTAGAACCTCCAGCTTACGCGGCAAAATACGAGCGCCAGGGCCTCTCCTGTGAGGCAAGGCTGCCTAAGGGAGCCAAGCCTTTGCCACCGCCACCCTTACTTGCGAGCGCGAGCAGCATGAAGATCATGGACCCGCGTTCTGGGCCAGCAGAGCTGAAGGAATGGGCAACAGGCCCAGGCCGAGGCTTTTACTCGCAGTACCTCCTCGTGTCACCTCAGGATGCACTGCTTGGGATTCCGGTGCTGGCAGGGCCAGATGTTTCCGCTGAGTTTGTCCAGGAGTCAGCCGCAACTGTTCGCCATGTGTTGCTGGAAGCGGCGGTGTCCAACAAAACCATGGCAAGCCTGGCGCGTACAGGAATCCGCTTGCTCATTGCGGCACAGGAGACAGAGGATAAGGACACGTGGCTGGAGCATCCAGAAGTAAGCCGGGCCTTTACCACAGGTCTTGGAGGGGCCAGCCCTTTGTTCCCATCCTTTGGAGTCCACGAGGGAGAAGCGCAAGTTTCAGTTGTAGAGGAGCTCTTCCACACCATCCAATACTGCTCTCTTTCTCCACGCGAGGTTTGTATGTATAGGAAGGCTTACAAAAATGCCATGGAGCAGCATCTCTATACAACTGACCATTCTGCTGCCGAGATTGATGGTGAGCCTGTACCAACAGTGCAGGCCGATGAATACCTCGCAATGGCATTGCAGAGATGGTTTGGAAGCCATGTTGGTTTGGATGAGTACTCCGTTCCCGGCAACACTGCGCATAGGTCCGGGCGGGCTAGCCTTAGAAAGAAGGACCCCAGGGCCTTCTGCATTCTCTCAAATTTGTTCCGCGCAAATGACACGTGGGACCCAGCAAAAGATGAGCCATGGACGTCCTACTCCAACAAGGCAAATGGCAACCTTAAGATGGACGAGGTCGCAGGCTTTTGTGCTCCTGCTCCTTGGCAAGATTGAGAATGATAGCACATGCATGCAAGCTGAGTTGCGGGCACCTAGGCTTCTGCTTAATTACCCCTTGAAGAACCGAGGTGCTTCAGGAATTGGGCTCGGGGTGTCCAAGCAAAGATGTCAAATGGCCAACTGTGCGGCCGCGCATCATTCCGTGATAGATTCGGAAGCACGTACAGAAAGGACTGGTTAGCAACAGGTGTCTGCTTGCTGTGCTTCTGCAGCTTGCGCTCACGTGACGTGGCAAAGCCAGATGTGAAAAAAGGATGACAAAGGCTTGCGCGGGAAGACTGAACAGCTATAGGTGGTCTCCGCACCAAGAGCACATGCAAAGCACGGAAGTTCAGAGGGAGAGCAAAATGAGAGAGCAAGCGCCACCAATGTTTGTTCTTCCACCTCCAGCCATGCGTCGTATCAAGCCTAAGCCCCAGAACAGCTCCCTGGCAGGCATGGACCTCCCTGCTGAGCCAGAAGCGCGAGAGAGAGTGGAGTTGCTTGGGCAGACGCAGGGAGCGCTTCAGAAGCTCAATTGCACCAGCTTTAGGGGAACCTAGTGGCTCTTGGCCGTGCAGGTTTCAGCGTGGCTATTGATTGCAGGAAGTTGGTGTAGTGCCAGGAGGTTGTCTGTCAGCTTTAACATCAACAAAGCCTGTCAGCCCAGGAAAGCCATGAGCACGAAAGTCATTCCCGATCTCTCTGCAGCGCTGACACTGGAAGCTTGGATTCAAGTTCTGCCACCCTGCTTCTGACGTATCTCCGGGAGACTTCCTATAGGCGTCTTGAGCTGCTCCCACACCTGTGGTGTTTTCACGCTTGGCTTAGGCGAGCAAAGCTGGCCTCAAGGAGCACCAAATGATACATGAGGCCCGATCATTGCTCAGCAAGTTGCTGGAAGGCAGGAAATAGAATTTGTGAGCTTCTGGCAAGAGCTGACCCGGGGCCTGTACAGAACAGGCCCGGCCCGCATCCAAGGTTAATGAATCGGCGAGAGAACGTTAAGAAGGAGCTGGAGAAAGCGGTGAAATTCCGTGGCTCGGTGGCGTTGCGAGGCTAGACAACCAAAATGGACAGTTGCTCTGGGCGGTGCTCCTCAGGCCATCCTGGCAAGCTAAAAATGACCATCATGTCTGCGAGACTGGCGCAAGTTAGCCTGAAGCGCATCTTGGATGCCGCACCTTGGAGTAAAACATGTTGCAGTACCAAAGTGCCTGTAGTAAGTAGCCAGCATCCATGTCGCCCTTCAGGAAGAAGTGCGCAAGAGGGTCGAGGACCCATGCTGAGACATTTCAATCGCTCCGTTACTGCTGCGTTGCTTGAGCTTACACACAAACCAAGATGAAAAGGAGCTGCTGGAGGCTATGGCAGAGGCGGCAGGCATAGAGGAGCGGGAGAAGACCCTGGCAGATGCAGCTATTCGGTCAAAATAAGCACAATGATGGCAAACATTCATATCTGGTACGCCTCAGCTATCCTTGGCTCATGAATACACTGAAATTGGCTCAGTTCGTGGCTCCTGAGCAGGTTTGTGCAAGGTTAGGGGGGGCAGGGCGTTCACTTAGCTTTGCAAGCGCTTGTGCCGACTTGTGACAGTTCTCTGAGGCAGTTCTGCTGAACTGTCAGGGCAGCTATCGTGGCCATGAGAGGTCAACTTGCACATGTCATTCACAAAGCCCTCAGGTTGCTTACAGCATCCCAGCAGAGTTGCTCAAACGGTTTGCCACCCGATTGCATTGAATCCCTTGCTCTAGTTGAGGGTCCACTGACATTGGCTTATTGAATATTGTCTACTACGGTCCTTGTTCCGCAGCTTCCCTGAAGTCACCCAAGACAACGAACTGAATCACCTGAGGAAATTGAGCTCGAAGAGCTGAAAGCTTTGCACGCCGCCATCCATCAGGGGGACCCGGAGGCATGATTGACAGCCTGACGCAGATGTGGGTGACCCCTGTTTCCACATTGGGCCCAGACTTTAGGCATGGAAGGTGACAGGGCTGCATCTGCCTTGCGGGAGCCAGTTGCATGCCGCTTAGCTCGTACCCCCCGCATGCAGGTCTTGCGAGAGTGCATCGAAAAGTGTGAAGACCTGGGAATCAAAGTGGTGGAGCTTCTTGAGGTGCCGAGGCTATCAACTAGCGCCATGAATTGTGAATCAGGGTTAGAGAGCTACAGCTTCCGGAGCAAACGTCCCAGCTTTCCAGATACACAGGTCTGTGAGCATGTTGAAGAAATTGCTTGATTTTTGCAGCTCAGCACTTGCCAGTCTAGGGCGCGTGCTTGAAATTCGACAGGATGGCTGCTCAATTGTAACAGACAAAAGAGAGGTCTCATGTTGATAGCGCTGGCCAAGGCCCGCGTGCTTTATCGGGACTGGGCCAGCGCCTGTCAAAAGATTGATGTGGAGGACGGGATCCCAAAAAACGTAAATCTGGAAGTTTAGGTGGTACAGACTGCAAGGAAAACTTTCCCACATAGCTTTAACAATGCACACGTTTGAGAGGCGGTGCAGTAGCATGTGGGACAATGCATGCTTCTGGCAGATAGGGCCTGGCCGTACGAAATGCTGATGATTGCTGATGTGATTCTACCGACAGCCCTTGGAGCCAGGCCTCTGTTCAGCGACTGGAGCCGCTCCGCAAAGCAATAAAGGCGGCCAAGGACGTAACCCTGTCTTGCAGACTTTCTGAAATAGCAGAATCAGCAGCCAGCCTGGAGTTCTGTGCTGTGTTCTTGAACTTTGAAGAACGAAAGGATCTCGGCGTGAACGCGTTGGTGCTGGCTCGCGGGAATGAGCTGCTCAGGCACCTGGAGAAGCGCATCCGAGCGGAACAGGAGCGCGGGCTTTGTGTTTAACCGTGCCGATGGATATACAGATACAGTCAGGCCAGTCTCTGGCTAAATCTGCCGCTTGTGAACTTCCCGTTCTTCCCTAAATATCAACAGTACATCATCGCTGGTGTAGACTGTCGACCACGTCAAACTGATGGTGGTCCGTAATGAAGACTGCATGGAGCAGAAGGCTGTAGCTCAAATTAGCAGTGCTCGTGGAGCCGAGTCCTTTCTTGTCCTTGGGCTGCAATCTGCAAAGGAGCTGGGTGAGGCCTTGAAGGTGGCTTGGACAAAAAGATGTTCACAGCCGAGCGCGGCTGCACAGAAAAACCAGCCAGCCGGCACGGCGTCAAAGAGTGTAGTTAGTATCTTAGCATGCAGCGGTCAAAGGTATGCAACACCTGCAACAAGGAAAAGCATAGACAGCAGAGTTCATGGAACGCTTCGGGTTCGGTCCCCTAATCTAAGGGCACTCCCTTAAAGTAGTGTCCTTGGTGAGGTTCGCAAGCTCGAGATCATCGCTGCAGCCGTACGAGCTGCTGGCGATGCCGGCGTGTATGCGGCACATCTGAAAAGAGCAAAGCTTCAACCCACGACGCGCTATCAGAATGTAGGTCGAACTAGCGGCTGCAGCCCTTCAGTTGCCTCAAATAACAACGACCCGTCGCAAAGCATTAAAGGATCTCAAAGGCAAAGCCACAAGCCATATCAATGGCACAACAATTCCCATTCTGGTCAAAGCCAAAGCTCAGGATCATGCGCTGGTTACCAAATCGCATGACATGCTGGAGGCCTGCTGTTGCCTGATGCAGGGCACACTTCGGCATGGGTGTGACATGAGGTCCTCCAGACGAAGCGGGACAAGTTACAAGCCGCGTCTGAGCGAGCGGTGCCTCGGGCAAGCATCAATAGCAAACCAGCCGGCAAAAGCAAGCTTGCTGTTAGAATCTTGGAACAGGGTTTGCAGCTTTTTCCAGGAGCTGCACCTCATGCACCAGACCATGGAAGCGGTGGGGCAGACCCCTACACTACCCGAGAGTGAGACTTCCAGGGCATACCTCAAGCTGCCACGCGGCTGCAAGCCGGGGATTCGCAACCGCCATTACAAGTTTTGCTGCGAACACCTTTGAGCATCTCATGTTCATAGCACATGCTCACCTGAACGTTTTTTGAGCGCAAGCCTAGGCGGGCCTTGCGCAAGAAGGAGCAGATTCAGATAGTCAGCAGACTCAAGCTGGCCCAGGAGTGCACGAGATCCTGGATACTTGTTGCGACAGCAAAGCTGGATGTGGTTCTTGCTTTCAAACAAGCATCACTCGCCCTGACAGGAAGCCAAAGACTTCCGAACTGGAGATGTCCTTCTTGAGCGCATGGTGACAGCAGCCAGCTTGAAATTCATCGATAGCGCGTCAGAGTGAAAGATGGGATGGTCTCAGCATCAGCGGAATGTTCTGAGGCGCGCAAGGCAGACGTTGATGTTGACAGCCAACATGTGGGGTTGCTTTGCTGCAGCAATCAATTTTCAGGATGGCGGTAGGGAGATAGGGAGCGGAAGCAAGCAGTAATCAGTTGAAAGATAGAGGCAGCAGAAAGTGTGGAATTGATAGGTGGTGGCTGAGGAGTACTGAATGGATGCGGCTAGCAGAAGTGGAGCAGCGCGAGCGTATCGAGAAGGACGTGCAAATTGACGTCCAATCCTTTACCCTAGCCTGTGGCTTAACGAGGGCATTGATTGCATTGATGTCGTGGTGCTTGCCAGGACATCCTTCAGGAACGCCTTTCGCGCAAGCCTATGGTTTTGTCCGAACAGGCCATTCAACGTCATGCCTGCGCCTTCAATTTTCAGTTTGCAGCCCTGAAGCTTTCGGCACACGTCAGCCATTGTCATCTGACATGGCACCATGTTGTGTGCAGACGGCTAGGCAAGGTGTTTGCAAGACCTCGTGAGGCGCCAGAATCCAGTGCCTCCTTCATTATGTCAACGGGCGCAATCGTTGGAACAATGAAGGCCAGACAAGAACACACGAGAGCTTGCCAGGGCGGCTTTTTGTTGCCAATATATCTTCAGTCTGCCATTAGACACTAGGAGAGATGTTCCTTTGCAAACATCTTTTACGGGGCCCTCGGCTCTGCTACAGTAATGCTAACAACGTGGGTGTGCGCGAAAGTCTTCCCAAAGTTCTGTGTAAGCCAGCTATCAGCAGCCTGCTCCGCGATGGGCTTGCGAAACCTTCGCGAAAGCATTTGCTCTTTGCAAAATGCGGTCATTCAGGATCGAGGCATCCAGCCTGAATCAACTCTCATGGATATGATTCGAAGCATCACCCCAGCTGGCCCCACGTGCAGGTGCTGTTTGAGCCGGTCGGCTCCCAGATTTGCTGCTAACCAGCATAGCGTGAAGGGAGCACTGTCTCATCAACTTGGGATATTGAACTTTGATGAACTTTGAAAAGTTGGACTTTGTCCGTCGCCAGATTCTACCTGAGATGAGGCATTCTTCCGCGAGAGGTTGTGGAAGCTTCTCGGCAAAAACTGCAGCCCTGGCCAGCCCTCATGGGCCTCTGAATGATGTGTGATACTTCCTATTTGGCTTGTCCACATTCCATCTGAGGCAAACCTGACTGTGAATTTGGAGGTTGGGAAGGGTACTCCAGATTCATCAAAGGCAGTGACGCCCAAAAAACTGCAGACATTGGAAGGAGAAGTGTCTCGACTGCGCAGCAGTGCTTTCTAGTAAATTTGGTGTTCAACTGCGGCTTCTTGGTTAAGGCAACCATTCGTAAATGTTTGGGTGTGATACGCAAGATCATTGGCAACGGCGACGAGGCTGGACACACAGACGTCTGTAGGATGCTGAACCCTGAGCAAATATCCGTAGCCAGTACATCCATTCCAGATGACACACTGCAAGTGTGCAGGTCAAATGCTTGCGGCCAATCGAGTTGTCTTGGGAAGAGAATGCTCGAGAATCTTCTTTCCGGACTCTGTGCCCCTGCTGATATGACTTAGAATCGCAACAGGCTACGGCTTCAAGTTGAAGCCGACCGAAGATGATTTCAAGGCTACTATCAGCTAAAGCAATGCTTTGGTACTGAGCCTCTGGGTACCTTCTGAGCATTGAGTCAGTTGCAGCAAGCTGCGCATAGCTGCGCTGCATCGCTTGCATCACTAACAATTCTATGACAAATTTGAGAAGCGCCGAGGCGAGGAGTAATGCAGGTGCCGATTGCAATCTATATTCGGCGAGATCATCAATGCCTGGAGGCTTGCCAGCTCCAAGTTTAGCTTTGCGCCCTGCGTGAAGGCTTCGCAGGGAAATGCCTGCTGCGCCCTGTTGCGTGAAAGGTGGCAGATGCCATTTGCCGTCGTTGCCACTTGGGAGCTGACCTCTGGCAGTCCCCAGACCTCCTGCCAAGCTCAAAGATCCTGATTTGAAGTTTTGACACAACTTTATACGGGACGCGTGTAGGCAAGAGCAGCTGTCAATTAGTATCCTTCGAAGAAAAACAGTGCTGAGGATCCACCCTCTGGATTTCTGCACGGACCCAAACCCAGTCACGGAAGACTGCTCTGCAAAACTCCAAGCGTGCTGCCGGCTCATTTTGGCGTGGTCAAGTGGAGTCCGCAACCTAAGCTCGGATTGGTGAACGTTTGAAAGGACCGTTCAAGCTTGTCAGACGCGTGTCATGCTGAGCATATGCAGAGCTCGCACCAGGGACGACACGGACCAAGTGGTCAGCACTCTCAGCAAAGAGCTTGCCTCCTCCCTGGTCCACGTGAGCCGGGCCACTACGCGGCTTAGCTGTTTGCTGGCAGTGATGTCTTCCATACACCCCCTGCACCATTTGTTCAGCATCACCTTCAGAGTTGCTGTGCAACTACCGAGGCCACTATGTACCAAGCAGCTGGCTGACTACACCAGGCCTATACTAGACGTGTGCCCCATAGTGCGATGTCATTGCAGAAAGTATGTCATGATGTTAAGTCTCGCTGCCAGGTCAGTTCATGCGAGGGTGTTCCGGTCACTGCACCTTGACTTCTTCTGGACATATCCAAAGGGAATCTTCGATTCCCTGGACGCCAGCTGCCTCATGTTTGACCAGGTGCGAACCCCACATATGTGCATACTGCAAAAGGGTAAACGCGTGGGACTGTAAAGAATGACCAGAGCTTCTGGAAGCCTTTTCTGCATTTTGCCCTCTGTTCAGGAGAAGCTGCTTGACATCATTGATGCTCGCGGATCTCAGGCTGCCAAGTACGGCATCTCAAGCTCGGGACCGTATGGCACCTCATGCGCCGTGGCAGCAATTTTGAGTCGTCTGCATGTTGCCTGGGTGCAAGAAGTAGTTTGGAAACCCAAACTTGAAGAATAGCCCTGGCCAAGACGAAAGAAGAAGCAGAAGCAAAGACAGCCCAATGCACCATTCGTTGAAGGCCGACTCTCATGGTGTGCTTGCTGCCTTGTCAAACATGACACTCTTCCGATGGCTTGATGTGACTTTCAGGAGAAGATCTCGGCTGTCAGCATGTTCGCTGACGAAGCTAGTTATGCCGAAAGCCGGCAGGGTCGTTCAGCTAAATTGGACACAGGGCGGGGTTTGGGGGTGCATGTGGAATTGCATCCATTCGATCAAGGGAGGCTTGAAAGGAGGCCATTCATGCTGCATGGCACAGATGTGCATGTGAATCATTGTGTAATGTGACCGGAAGCCGCTGTCGAAAAGGCAAACGGACGGTGGAGGTGCGCATTGACATGATTCCTGCTTACGTCTCTGACCTCATCTTCGCAACTTGGCCGGCCTTTAATTTGAGAGGTCTGGATATGCTTGGAACTCGCGCACCAGCTGAGTGAATTGAAAAAGGTAATCTCGCCGACAAATTCCCGAGACCTGTCAAAGTTCACGAACCTCAAGAGCGCCGTTGTGGACGCAGAGTCCGCAGAGGTCTTGGTGAGCAACGATGTTGCTGATGAGGTCAGCCCTGGCTACGAGCACCTTGTCAGAAGAGGATGTAGTTGCAGGGCAGAAGAGACCTCTGAGTCATCGTGGCGTGTGACGTCGGACCGCCGTGCAGGTCGGCAGTTCTCCTCAGCGTCTACAGACTGGATGACCACTTGTGGCACGTGAACAAAATTGATGCCTTCTGCACGGGGAGCCATCGAGATTACAGGCCCTCATGGAATGACTGGTTGCAACAGTGAACACTTTGAAGAAAAGGCCTTCATTCATAGCCAGAACAAGCTTTTCTCGCCAAAGAAAGCCACTACAAAGCCTGGTGCCTCCTGCATTTCCTGCAGGCCGGTCATCAGGAAAGTCCTCAGCTTGGGTTACCCCAGGCAGCCGGCCATGAAGAACTTGGTCCCAGATGTTTTGAAGCGAATACAAGCGGAGCTCTCCGTCCCTCACCCGGTGAAAGACACCAACGTCAGAGTGAAGCTTGCGCAGCAGTTTCCATCGGTTGCATGACCCTGAATCCACAATCCATGTGAGTAGTATTTTATCTGGCGATACTATGGTACCCAAAAGAGCACCAAGATTATATCTTCCTTTTGGGTGTAGTAAAGCGCATACAGAATACAATCTTACTTGATTCCACAACCAAAAAAAGACTGCTCATGTCTGGCTTTTCCCAAAATGGAGACTTTTAGGGGTCTGAAGTTCACGCCCCCGGTGGCCTTCCCATGCTAAACTGCATCAGGGCTAAGTGAGGTTGCGCTTTTTTTGCGAACCCCCTCAAAATCGGCATACTTACTCTTGGCAATTGTAAGGAGTCGGAAGAATGCCTTGGAGCCACTTGGATGACAAAGCTATTCAACTGTGCCCACGGCAGCCCGTGTAGAGCCATGAAGCATTCAGCAAGAAGTGTTTGAGCAGTGGTCAGGACATTATGCACCATGACCAGCCAACAAGACTCGCCTATTCAACTGGAAAAGCCCAAGGTTTGGCTATGCAGTTGAGCTGACTGGTGATCAGAAGATGCTGTCACCAGAGATGTTGGAGCCACTCGGGATGCACAGAAGGGTCGCTGCTTCAACGGACGATCTACCTGTGAAGTGCGCGCAGAAGAATGCTGCCATTGCTGCTTCGAATGTGTTTGCAGGCGAATAGCGGAGCCCATGTTCATCGAGGCAGAATGTGGCTCTTACTTGCATGGCCATGCCCTTCTCTGTCATGAGCCCCGCTGTTGCATTGATCATAAGAGCCTATGAAGAGGGATGCGGCTTTAGGAAGGGCATTGCCGCATAACCCCTAGTTTTACCTCCTTCACTCATTTGCAGTGCATACCAGTGCTGAGCACTGAACCTATCAAGCCCTGCAACGCTGGGTTCAGGCCTTGGCCGAGACCCTGTATGATGTCAGCAGCAGGCGGATTGGAAAGTCCCACTTGACGATCTCGAAGGCATGCCACTCTGGTTTTGCTGGGGTTTGTTGCACATGACAGCTGGTGACGGACGTGGGCAGGCATCATATGGCGAGGCGTGCTCCTAGCTTGCAAAGAGATTCCCCACTGCAAGGGTTCCACACGTGGAACATGCTGCTCGTGAGCCTTTGTTCATTTGATAGTGTTGGTTGGTAAGGGAATCTGGAATTCGAGTTCAAGTACAAGTTTCCGGAGCAGGCCAGAATGAGAGCAGACTTGATATTGTTTCGACATTTGGGCAGACGGCACAAGCACCTTCAATTGGCTTATCAGGAGGATGACACGGAGGAGGATTCTACTCATTGCTACCTGGACACAACATGTGTGCCTTGGAAGCTTTGAAGCGCGTCAGTCGAACACAAAGGATTCTGAAAAACAGGATTTGCTCCGTTGCTAGGTGATGTTTGAAGGCCAGGCCTTGCGCGAAGTAGTGGATTACCGCGGGGCACATGGCGTCCGCTGGGTCATGAACGGAGTGCCGCTTGGCCCCAGTGTTCGGCATGCTTTTTCACATTGCCCCAGAAGCGGGGCAGCAATACCCCCTTACTTCTGGACACCTTGAGACCTAAGATGTGTGGAAAGTGCCTGCACGATCCTGCACGTCTGAGAACATTTCAGGCTGGACTACCGCGGCTACTGGGCCTGATGCTCAGCAACAGGTTCCAACATTGCATAGGCACGTCTTCCACATATTTCCCTTCATTATATGTCCTCCGAGCCGAGGTCGGGCAAATTCCGATTGGAGATGCTAGCGGAGGTGCCGTGCATCACATCGGGGGATCTGTGGAATATGCAAAGCGGGAATCCTTGGCCGCAGCTGAGAAGCCAAGAAGATGGCCCTGCCCCAGCTGTGGTTTTGCATCAGCCACTCCTTGAGTGTAAGGAGGGGAGGACCGCCTGCCAGGCAGGCCTGTGCATTCTTTGGCAGCTATTATTCTGAGACAACCATTTCAAGAGCAGCAGACTTGAAAGACTTGAAGGTGCCTGTTCGGAGCAAAGGTCTTTGTCAAAGTGGTTTTGAGACAATGGTTTGCCGAAGCTAGCCGTCTGGAAGCACCTCTCCAACAGTAATAGACAAAGGGGACTGCTGAGCGCGCGCAGCCCCATTTTAACCGACTCACACGCACAGAACACAGAAGGCTGTAGCTCTGCATCTGGCAGGTCGAGCTGGACAAGTTGCCAGCTGGTGTCACAGATGTTTTCTTCGTTCTGTCCAACCATACCACTCCGACACTTGCAAGCATCGAGCACGCTGCCTCTGCGCAAAATTAGACATGCGCAGAGCTTGGGCTGTGTAGTGAGTAGCTTGCTACTGGCTTTTTGTTAGAAGTTTAGGGGAAGCCATGCTGATAAATAAGCCAAGAGGAAGGCAGTAGAGCCTAAAGCATGCTTTGCTAAGGGTTGGCGCCTTCAGCGGCGTGACTCTTCAGGTGAAGGCAAGGGTTGTCCAGCTGTTCGCTCGCTGTTCGCATGGCACCGGGGCAACAACTTTGAGTTGACGAGTGATGCCGAGGGGCGGAAGGGTGTCGCTGCGTCAGGATGTGAACCATCCAGGGCACGAGGTAACCGGGGTCTTCGAGTTGGCTGCCTCCGCAGCTCCCCCAGTGTCCCTCAGCATTTGCTGGTCTCCAAGCGGCTCCTGCTCCGAGGACCCCAAGGAGTCCGCTCTGGTTGCTTGTCGCTGCAGCCGAGCTCCCGCACTGGAGACTGGGCTGTGTGAAGATACTTGGACACTGGACCTGATGAGCATCTCCTGCGGTGGCCATGCAGAGACCTCAGCATCCAAACAGGCAGTTTGTGTTTCTTATGGCATTTGCTTAAAGACCAGGCCATGGACTACCGCCCAGCGCTACAGCATCTTGGCTAAGCCTCAAACTGCCGCAGGTTCTGAGAAGTCCAATCATGTCCAAGCCATTCGGTCAAAACGGGGTTTTGCTGGGCCATGCTCCTGATATTCACGAAGAACCTCGACTTCCTGCCTCATCCTTCGGGCTTGGCTGCAACTTGAGTTGACCGCAAGTAGCTCCTGGCACTTGATGCCGGGTATTTAGTCGCTGCTTACCTTGAGAGACGTTGTGCTAGGAGACTCTTGGGGAGGAGCCTGTTGGGCATTGCCTTTTAAGGTGCTTATATGCTACTCAAGCAGCCACTCGACATGCGAGGCCGCTCCCTCAGTCCAACAGCTGTGGCACTGTGCGGCCTTGCACTGCAAGTTGGGTACGTTGCCTATACCGCTTTTTTGTATATTGAGCCCAGCTGATGCCGCGCCATCAGGGTGCAGCTGCAGGTAGGGTGATTGCCGGGAGCAACAAGTGCCAGTTGTCAGATTGACTATGTTCCTGTGAAGGAAGTCATATTATAAGCTTTTGTGTGACACGACAAGAGAAGGGAACCAGCAACATGACTTCCGGCAACAACACCTTGTAAATCTAGACTTGCTCGTAGCAACGATTGCAATAGAGCCAACATCTCTCGTGGAACAACACCTTGATTGCTAGCAAACATCTTGGCAAAGAGAGAAACTGATGCACCGCACAGCTGTCTTCTTTCACACTTAATAAAAGCCTGGCCAGACCAGCTTGGACATGCAGTCAGCTTTGTCAGGGAACTGGTGGGGCTTGTTCTTGACTCTTTATTGCCCAGGTCGGTGCAGTGGCCGTGTCGGGGTTCTTCGCGCGCTTTGCAGGACATGGAGGGTTTGATCTCCACCTTCTGGCTCGTTCGGGGCACATGACGGCACTGTGGTAGTTGGACATGCGACAAGTTTGGGGCAAAGCTTGTCAATGGGCATGGACATCTCAGATATCCTGCATGTTGAATTCAGCACAAGATCATCTGCCAGAGGACAGGCCTCACAGCCTTCCTGCAATCAGACGGACTCTTGACTGCTGATATGATACAGGCATACAGTTGAACCGGACATCGCTGCATGCAGTATACTAATGCTAATGCAGGAGCTGCACTGTCCTGTCCTGTCCTGGATGGGTGCTTCTAAGGTCACAGAACGAGATTCCAACGCAGGGGACCAGCTCAGAGCTTCCAGAAGGCAAGGAGTCCTGGCAAGTCCAGACATAAAAAGACAAGAAATGCGCTTGATGCAGCGTAGGTGTCGGTCTGAGGTCCAATACACTTACATGGACTTAAGTGCGGTTCTTTGGGCTGTTCTTTGGGCGCTATGCGGCTGGCAGGATTATCGAAGGCTCGGACGCCCTCCAATTCTGAAGCGCTACCGCAGCTTGGTGAGCGCGGAATGAAGCTTCAAACCCGCAACAGCTCAAATGACAGATTGCTCAGACAGACGACTGTTGCTGCGCTTCCAAGGCCTGTCTCCGCCAGGCCAGGTCGGAAGCATTTGCACGTTTGCCAACGCATGAGCGAATGCGTTAGCATTAGAGGTTGTTGCTTTGGATCGTGTGTCAGCGCTGCCGTGTCTTGACGCCATGTCATCTGTTAGCCGAGCCGATCCTACAGTATAGTTCAGGCGGGTTGTCTGAGACTTGTGCTGAAAATCTGTGTCGAAGGAACAAGCAATCTGAAGCCGCTGCTGGTACTGCCTCTGCTGCTGTTTCGCAAGATTATGCCCGCACAGGGATGACGGCTTCAGGTGCTGGCTGCAGGTCATAGGCACCGCCACCCACTACACAATGATTCCAGGACATTCCAGGTCCATCCCCAGGCCCATTCTCAGGGTTCTTCAGTCAAACTCTCGCTATCCAAGGCAGAAGTACCAACTGCAGGTTATGCAAAACTCGGCAACCTGCCAGAGGGGGATCCGGAAAAGATGAGTGCCTTGGTAAGACAAGCAGCGATGAGATGCCGCTTGCAGGTTTAAGATAGACTTTCATGCCTCACAACCGCCGCCTGAGCCTTTTTACCTTGAAGGCTTTGCTTTGGTCTTTGCCCCAAAACCGGCGACCAGGCTGACACATACACGTCGTTACCAACACAGCCCCCACAGAGGCCCAACAACATTGTAATTCGGCGAGAGGGACTACTACAGTTCATACCACACATTCAGCCAGCATGATAACAAGATCTCTGGGAAATGCATATCTCACTTGAAAGGCTGATTTTGCTGCCAGTTTGCTTGGTTTGCGAGCACCTCAGGTCTAACACCCTTGCCGCCCCTGGATTCGCCGAAGGCCCTGGACAGCGCCCGATGAGGAACAAGATGTGCGTCTTTGCTGTCAGCATTGATGCTATTGGGGAGATTAAAACAGTGAGTACTGAACATGGTTATTTCGTGCTGCTGCAGTATGAAAGTCCTCAGGTTTTTTATTGAACGGATTGGGTTGTCTTTCTAAGGGGCTGCAGGGGCCTAGGACAAATTTCTGGATGCTAAAGGCATCCCACACATGCACATCCAGAATCCAGGGTTGCACACCGTGTCTCACCGTCTACAGACCGGATTTTGCGGAACTCCGAAGGGGGTATGTCTTCCTGTACAGCACGAAGTGCCACCACTTCGCCTTTCATACGATCCGTTGCAAATAGTTCTTCAATTTGACCTCGCCATTGATTTACAAACAGCGGCACGCACAACGAGGGGAAAAGGGGCTCTGAGGAGACTACTGCCTGCATTGTGATGCGCACTGAGTGGTGGCAGTTGAAAGCATTCATTTTGCCCTTGCGTGACTGATGCGGGACAACGCAGGTCCTAGAAGCTCGGTCGAGGTTGCAAGAGGCCAGTGGCATAAATACAGTTGCCGTGTCACGATTCCTCAGGTTTAGATGTTGGGACTTTCAAACTCGCGTTGCCCGATGTGCAACCGCAAAGCTGCGGCATGCTGTGCTGTCTTTGCTGCACGCTGCCTGCAGGTGGTGGGTGCTGGCCGGCGGCTTTGCTACATAGCCTGCGCGAAGCTTCAGCGTCCAGGCCCTAGAAGGAGCCTAGAACCAACGCAAATCAAAAATCAGTAAAGGAGATGCAGCTGCCAACGGCAACTTTGCGATTTGTTGCGTATGGTTGTGCATGAGATCGCCAACCCTGTTGGTGTGGCACAGTGTACTGTGTTCTAGCCAAGTGCACGAGTGTTCCAATGGCTCGTCTGCCAAGAAAGCTTAGGCTCAGACCTGGCAGGGGCGCAGTCTGTTCTGGAGGAGTTCCGAAAATGGGGAGGTGTTGCGCGCAAAGCTGCTGGGGTAGTCTTTGTGCAAGGAGGTGGATCAGCTTCCAGGGCTTTCTGCAGCTGCTGGAGGCAAGGCCCATGTTGCGGGAACATGCTGTAGCCTCACCGGGCTCAGACTTGTGGCATTCGCTTCCGCGCCGGCTGCGTCTCTGCGAATCTTGCAACGTTTCTGGCTTCCTGGAGGACAGGGATCCCAGAGACGCATGACATCTAGCCTTCCAGTGAGTTCCAAGTAACCTCAGCAATCTTGCTCATGCTGCAGCTTGTATTTTATGGCTGCAGACTTTTTTGGGGGGAGATGGTTTGGGTAAGCAGAATCTGGCTGGAGGCCAGGTGAGATCCGGTCGGAGAGAAAGGAACCGGTAACTTGAGGGCCCAGCAATTTTTGACATGGCTTGGGCAGTCACAAAGATGTGTGGCGTACTGCGTGGGAATTTTCCTGGGGTTGACGGCATGATCTTGCATTCGTGCAGAAACTTCAAGAACCTCTTCAGCACACCTTGAAGGTTTACACCCAAACGCGGGCGTTCAAGAGCTTCTTGGAGAAGGGTGAGCTGCTCCCAGAGGCTCTCCGGGAAAAAGTCTGTATCGTCCTTGTGTCACAAAACTGCTAAAGCGGTGAGGTGCCCGCACTGTGGCAGACTGGCATCCAAGAATTTGACAACGAGTCAAGACCTGATTTGAAGCTTATGCAGGTTTTCCAGCAGATTTCAAACAGTGAGGTGTTATTTGCTGGGGGTCATCAGCAGCCTCAGGGAGTTGGAGAGGCGAGCTGGCAAAAGTTTCATTTTCACTTCTTGCGACCTTCCGGCCAAGAAGCTGTGAGCTCCACTTTGGGCAGGTATGCTGTCAATCGCGGCCAGGCCAAGCCATGCACTGAGCTGAAGCAACTTGGACCAAGATACTTCTTCTGCGCCAGTCTTTGGACCTCCGCTCGGTGCAGTTCTGTCTGAAGCTTGCGCAGACGATGGAAGAGGCCTCTCCTTTGAGAATCTGCAACAATCGGCTCCCCGCCAAGCTTGCGGCTCAAGGGCTGCCCTCTGACGTTTTGCAAGCCTTGTGATATGATTCCATGGGTTCATCTGGCCACCTATTTACTTGGAAGACTCCCAAACCACCCAATACGCAAAGAGAAGAATTGTGCAAGAAAGCTGTGTGCAGGCACACAAGTGAAGTGCAGGCGCTCATGCAATTCAACTTCCGAAACAGTGCTTTGCGAGTTCGCCGCGCTCTCAGTCCCTCCACTTGTTGGACAAGTACAAAACATGTATGGAAGTAACGACTTTTTGCAGATGGAGACACTAGCTCAGCGCAGGCTTTGACGGAGTGAAGTACACGGTCAAAAAGTCCTGGGCTGAGTTGAGTTTTGCGGCCTCACTTAGGGTCGGCTTCCGGTGGTAAAACTTGCAGGTTGGAGTCGCTTGTGTATGAGATCGACCTGGCAAGGCCTGGGTTGCCGAAAAAGCCTGTCAAACACACGCCCCATCCAGTTGGATGCTGGCCCCATCACCTTCCAACAAACTTCAGACCATCTATTCGCTTTTGCTGATGGCAGGCAGAGAGATCCTTCGACACTTACGCCGGAAGAGCCGCTCGTTGAAGGGAAAAGAGGAAGCAGAGAAGCTGATGCAAGAGTCTTTTCCTTGCAGCCAGAACCATGACAAGAACTGAGGCGAGCATCAGAAATTGATGTGTGCGCCTCGGGCTCCGGCTTTGTAGACCTGCGACTTTCTTCTGG